CTCGTCAAGAACCTCATCCGCCGCAAAACCCCCTAAAACCCCTCCCGGAGATTTCCAACTCCTCACGCCGGACTATCTCTCCCTTCCGATTCGGATTTGTTTGGTCTCTAATTCGAGATCCCAAGCGATTGATCTTACACAATGATGGGGGAAGAATCAGATTCAGCACCGCCGAATAGAGAACTCTACGCGCTGCTGAATTTATCACCGGAAGCCTCCGACGAAGAAATCAGGAAAGCTTATCGTCAATGGGCTCAAGTTTATCACCCCGACAAGTACCAATCTCCTCAGGTCTGTGCTCGAATCTCACCCTTAGTTTATTGAAATCAGTTTAGGAATTAGCTTTTTCTTGTGGGCTGAATTCGAACTTCTTGTTCAGATGAAGGAAGTAGCTACGGAGAATTTCCAACGCATATGTGAAGCGTATGAGATTTTGTCGGATGAGACTAAGAGGCTAATATATGATTTGTACGGAATGGAGGGATTGACTTCAGGATTAGAGCTTGGTCCTAGGCTGAGTAAAGCCGATGAGATCAAAGAGGAGCTTGAAAGGATTAAGAGGAGAAACGAAGAAGCTAAGAAGATGGCACATTTTCTACCCACTGGTTCGATTATCTTCAATCTGTCTCTGCCACATTTTTTACGCGGTGATGGTATCATGAGAGGGTATTACCTTTCTTTCCAAGTTTTTATTGGTAGCATGGTTCTTGATTTGGATGCATAACTTGACCTTATAGACCCTTAGTAGCCTGGAGTGATATGATCTTGTTTCTGTATTATACTATCTTGTGTTAGAACTTTAAGGTGCTCAACGCTAAGCTTGACTCTCGATTTTTTTGTGTCCATTGAAGTAGTTTTGGGGTTTTTTGACGCCCTTTTTTTTCTTTTGTGATTGATTGTGCAACTATCAGAATGGTTATGGCTAGTCAAGTGCAATCTCAGTTATCAAAAGATGATGCTATTGCTATTGGTGGAAATTTGGCGGGCAGTGAAAAAGCTGGCGGTGGAATTGCTACTGCCGTCCTGAGACGTCAGCTTTCTCCAGTGTCATCCATAGAGTTTCTTGCGTCAACGGGTCTGCGGTCGCTTATTGGGATGCAGACAACACGGTAGGCTCATGACTTTTTTCCAGTTATTGTATTTCTGAGCCATCTTTAATGGTTTAGCTGACACTTTTTGGGTTTCTTGTTGGGGCAGTCAGTTGTCCATACATTCAACTGCCACTATCAATATTTCAAAGTCTTTGAGTGATGGCTCCATTAATCTTACCAACACTTGGACTCGACAGCTTTCAGAAACGTCAAGCGGAAATGTATGTTCTAATCTGTTACGGTTTTTTTTATTTGACCTTCTAAGAGGGCGAAAAAGCAGTTTACTTGATTCTCAAATAGTTTATTTCCTCCAGATTGAACTGGCGCTGGGTGCGCAATCAGCAATTTCAGTCGGATGGAAAATCAGAGAAGAGAATGTATCTGCCGCTGGTGCCCTGAAGGTATAGTGACTGCAAATCTGAATTCTTACTGCTCCAGCTCGACCATCTCCCTTACTTTATCTAGTTATGATCTTGCTATTTCCAGATTGAGGCTGGTGGACTCGGAGTATCAGCGCGTTATACACGTAAACTATCATCCAAATCTCACGGTCGCATTGTAGGTAGAATCGGAAGGTTTGTGATATTGACTGATAATCTTGAGCAACCTAATGTATGATATATGAGAGGATGGAAATTCTTGTATAAATGTCTTAACATGTGTGCGCAATTATTTTTCTCATGTGACTTTGGATGATTTTTTCAACTTTTTCAGCAATGCTCTTGAGATTGAGGTCGGTGGTGGAAGGAAGATTTCTGAGTTCAGTACCGTAAGAATGATGTATACAATAGGACTTCAGGTAAACCAATCTTAAAAAACTTTTAAAGCCATCTTAGCTATCATGTAATCTCCTTATTATAATTTTGCTGTAGGGTGTTTTTTGGAAACTAGAGCTACACCGTGGTGGCCAAAAGCTGATTGTTCCTGTGAGTGCTAATTTTCTTCTTGTTTTTCTCTTGTTAGAATATATAAAGTAGACTACAATCCAAAGAACCTAGGGATGGATTCTAGTGCATCATCTTTAACTCTTCCAAACCCTTATGCCAACTCAATTCTGGAAAAAACCGATATCTGTGTTACTCTGAGGAAGTCTTTATCTTTTGAGATCATAACATATCCATGATGATTATCTTTGAAACTTGCAGATTCTACTCTCCTCGTATTTAAGGCCAGTATTCACAACTGGAGCATTCATTGTTCCAACATCCCTTTACTTTTTGTTAAAGGTGAGTTATTGGACCCTCTAAGTATCATCTACTTTTGCTCTCTCGTTATTAGGTGGTTGCCTGATTAAAATACTTTGACTGCCACACGCAGAAATTTGTCGTGAAGCCGTATTTGCATAAAAGAGAAAAACGAAAGGCCTTGGAGAATATGGAGAAAACTTGGGGCCAGGTGATGATTACTTACAAGTTTGGTAGCGAGATTCCTTGTGATTTTCTTGTAGACAAGTTAATTTAATAATTTTTGGGGTTTTAGGTTCGGGAAGCAAGGGCAGCGGCTGAGAAAGCCCAGCAATTGCTACAAAACGTAGCCACGAGGAAGAGAAACCGGCAAGTTGAAACAGGAGGGCTCGTAGTAACAAAAGCATTGTATGGTGACCCAAAAGCGTTGTATGGTGACCGAGAAGGGATAGAGAGAAGACTTGAAGAAGGAGAAGTGGATTTGGGAGTCATTGACGTGACAGTGCCAATGAACTTCCTCGTGAGTGACTCAGGGCAGCTCAAGCTCCATGAGGGAGTGAAGAAATCAGGGATCATGGGCTTTTGCGATCCGTGTCCTGACCGACCTAAGCAGTTATACGTTGCCTATACTTGCCATTCTCATACATTTGAGGTAATTGTTGGTGACTCTGAAGAGCTGATTATACCACAAGAAGGCCAGTGAGTGTGAAAAGGTACTCTTCACTTTGTTGTTCTATTAAATAGTATGAAAAAATGGATTCTTTGCTTTTGGGAATTTGTAATGCTTCTTAGTTAACCTCAACAACGGCCACTTTGATATTTTATTGGTCGCCATTTGCCTACGAGGCTTCATTTTACATTCATTTCTGAATAAATTGAGCATTTGTTTCCGATAAATTTTGGGTGATCGTGTGATTTTTAAATTTTGGAGTATATGATTTGTTGTCAAAGAAATTTTGCTTTTACGGATGCTAATGAATTAAAATTTGAATGATGGAAACAAGTTTATTTTTATAAAGAAGAGAAGTTCGATATTTGTTTTTAAATAAGAGTAAAGAAGGTTTAACTTTATAGGATCCACTTAAGAACTATTTTCCATCAACAATATGCACCTCACAATCCATCAATCACAACATATCACATGAATAAAAAAAATATATAAGAATCATTGCAACACATACTATTTTCCGAAAAGAAAAGACAAGTCCTTTATGATATATACCACAAAGATCGCCGTGGGTATTTGATAACTACTTTGAACAACAATTAATTAGTGTAATGAATTTTCTAGTAAGTGAGGGAATTTAAAATGTACTTGAACATAAACAAAGGGAGAAAATCGAACGAAGAAAGAGGTTTAGAGGTCGAAAAAAGCGTTTAGCGGTTGGAGACAGAGTTTGAGAGAAAACGTCCTTTAGTTGTTGATGAGAAACCAAACAGGGCCTAATCCTAAAGTCACCTCGTGCCATGACCAGCTTGTTCTTCAAATCAACCACGTATTCTTCGATTCCTGTCAAAATCCCATTTATTTGGTCAATATAATACATACGTAATTATTGTTAAAATCAATGAATTTGATTATAGAGAAATGATAATGACAGATAGGAGGATTAAAGAAAAGGTCGTGGATGGTTCTTACTTACTACTTAAGGGCGAATAAGAAGGATGGTAAACGGTAGGTAGCAGCCACGAAATTAGTATAAAGCATGATTAAAAGATATTTAAAATGGCAAGTTTGTTTTTGTTTTTCTTGAAAAGAGAATCAGAATATTTAGTTGTATAGTTTTATAGACACATTAATAATTCATGAAAACATATTTGGTGGTACGTAGAGAGCTCACCGGTCATCTTGGAGACAATCTTAGAGACTCTGTCTTGACAACGGACACATCCTGCATCTGCGCTGATCACAATAACTTGAAACTGGTTTTTGGATCCACGTTAATATTTTATTTTACATATGTTTTATACATTAAATTTATGAAACGACACACTTTTTAGAGAATAACAAATATCCTTAAAGAACTCTAAGATGGAGAGAGTATAATAAAAATGATTATGAAAATTAACAAGGGAAAAATTATAGAATGGGAACAAAATCAAAGGAAATTTTGAGAAATGCATGCGACCATGTATAACTGTTTTATGTTTTATGAACAACGACAATGGTTTCATTCAACACAGTTTACCGACTCACGCAACCAAACTGATTTTCTTTGTTATAAAAGAACAAACTTTAAAACAAAACAAAAAATTACAAAATTGGAAAAAGAAGAGAAGAAGTAAAAGATGCATGAAATGATTGCTATAACTAAAAAAAAAGATAGAATTGGAGAGAAGAATGTAGATATACAACGTACCGATGGAAGTGAGAGTTCCTCGCAAAGCATGAGGGTGCGCGGCCGCATCATCGCGTCCTTCATTTCCGTCGGAGGCCGGATCAAGGCCGGTCAGTACTACTATTTATGTTTTAGGTCTGGGTTTAGGGATGATTAGACATGGAGGATTTGATAATTTAAGAAGGGAATGTAAGTTTTGTATGTATGCGACAAGATATTCAATTTCTTGTACACTATTTTATTGAGAAGTCCCATCCTTACACGTTTCACCCATAATCCGTAATTAAATATGCAATAAACTAAAATAAACATTGATTTAAACAACAAAAGGTTGTTCTAAAATAGTAAGCAAGTAGGATTAATAACACCTTGCCTACATAAAAAACATTCACTTCGAGGTAAAATGACTTCATTTTTATAATTTTAAATAATTTACGGAAGAAAATTGGGATACTAAAAGAAAAAGCAGATGCCAATGAGGAGATCGACTGAGTAAGATGTGATGTGAGTCTTAAATTTAGAATATAATCGAGTTTAAGGATAATGTTAATTTGGTTAGAAAAGAGAAAAGTTCAAAAAAATTGTCAAAGCCACCATTGAACTAACCATGCGGGTTCCATGTTACTTTCTGGACTTTAAAAAAAAAAAAAAAGGCAAAGACGGCGATGCCTAGAATGTACATAGTTGAGAATTAGTTTATTCTAGGGCAGTTTAGATACTCAGACTAAAATAGGTTCCTAATAGATTGATTTTCTAAAAAAATGTATTACAAATTATGAAACAACTAACTGTGTTTATTTACAAATGGAAACGTTTGCAATAGACATTTTTTCATATCTATGAATCAATAGTTATTTTATAAATTCAAATACTTCTATTGAAGTTTACAGTTGGTTAATATTAGTTAATAAAAATATATAAAAATTTAGAAAATCAATTTTGTATAACAACTAAAAAGACTTGAACATCAATTTTTTTAGGAACAGAGAATGAATTTTGTTATAAAAAAGAAATTAGAATATTATATATTTAAAATAATATTACTAAAAATAATTCATAACATAAATTGAGTAACTGCTTAGCAATGGTAGGTAACTTAGCCTATAAACATCTATAAAAAAAATCTCATAGGCCAAAAATCTCACCCAC